CTCATTTTTCGATTTTTTTTTAACCGAAATGACATTCACGGTGCTCTTACTACCGTAATACATATCATTTTATACGGTATTTAAAATATCGAAGAAACTTCAAGTAATAGTACGGTATTTTAATTACCGTAAAACTCTGGCCATAACTGTGAAACCAATTACAGTACTTTAGGTATCGTAAAAACTAAAACCCATTATACAGCATTTGAAGTACTGTAAAAACTAATGCGTCTTATACGGCACTTAAAATGTCGTAAATACTTTTCTCATTTTGTTTATCTCTTCCATCTTTAATTCTTTTAATGTTTATGTACTCTTTTTCTCTCTAATTCTTTTTCATATTTATCTATTCTTTTTCTCTCTAATTCTTTTTTATTTCTTTTTTCTTTCACTACAATCTTATCATCGTTTCCTTAGATCATATCCTTTGTTTTGCATACCCATGTTTGATTACTCTCTAAGGAAACAATGATGAGATTGTAGAGAGAGAAATACAAGAAAAAAACAATAAAGAAAGAAAGAAGAGATAAATATTAAAAAGAATTAGAGAGAGAAATAATAAATAAACATAAAAATAATTAGAGATAAACAGAATGAGTAAAGGGATTACGGCATTTTAAGTGCCATATAACATGAGTTAGTGTTTATGGTACTTAAAATGCCATATAAAGGTTAGTCTAAGTTTATGGTACACAGTTTACGGTACTAAAAGTACCCTATAAAATTCCTTAAGTATTACAGTATTTAAAGTACCAAATAACATGCGCTAATTATTACGGTAATACAACTACTGCGAAAGTCATTTTGGTAAAAAAACAAAAAAACAAAAAAAGAGGAAAAATGATACAAACAAGATAAACCAAAATTTGTGGTTTTTTTTCATTTAAGGTGTATTTGCGATAATTTCTCAATAGGGAAACAATACTTGCAACCTAGAGGCTAATGGAATAGTACAAGCTCAATGGCTTAGATTGAATATGAGCTAATCATGATTGCATTTTGTAATAAATTATATTTTTTTTTTACAAATTCAAAACACTTGAAATTTGAATCAATGTAATAAAAATATCAAAAAAATAATTCGTAATAAATAAATTGACCAAAATACTCTCAATAATATCATGAGTATTTTGGTTGATTTATTTTTTACATATTATTTTTTAATATTTTTATTAGACACACCTTGATGAGAAAAATGGATATTTCAAATTTCATGTTATTTGGATTTATATAAATGCTAAAATTATATTACAAAATACAGTAGCGATCGTTAAATCGGCCTAGATTCAAATTGAATCGTTCGGTTCACACTATTTCATCACTTGGTGGGCTGCCCTTAGTTTTGTTAGATATATATATATATATATATGGAAGCATCTATGCAACGCTTATGGGTGAAATGCTACAGTGATTTCACCCATAGACCATTTAAAAAAATCGAATACATGTGTTTTTCGACCGCTACGAACATGTTAAGACCGTGGCAATCCAAAAATTCACGCGGAACCATAATGGACGATGCCGTCCATTGCGGGTCCATTCAATAAACCGCCACTGATAAGAAGGTCACAACTATTCTCACTCACTAGATGTCAATTTTGATGCCTTGGAGTGAGTAATAAAGTCCAAGAATTTCTTTTTTAAAAAATTCTCATTAATGACACCTTTACAACCACCCATCTATGAAATCTAAGAGACAAGAATGATTGTAATCTTCTTGTACAAAAAGTAAATGGTTATATATTAATAAGGAAAAAGTATATAAATAAACAATTTACTTTTAATGCTCCAGCAAGTGCTTTGAATTAATGAGCAATCCAACATTTGTGAACTACGGTCCAACCAAATTGTGTTTGAAATAAACATACCGATAGTGTACAATTTCGGTCCCGCAATACACAACTACAGTCCTATGTTTTCTTTTATTGAGATCCTCAAATAATTTGTTATGTACGGAAAGAGTATTTTCATCAAAAAAAGTGAACTTTTTGTATTGAAAAATATTTGCTATAACACTTGAGTTCGGAAAAAAATACGCTACAAAAATTAGGGTGAGTGTAAAGTACCTAGAAAGTCTATTTTTAGGGGTTTTATGCAATTTTCCCTAAAAGTAACCCCTGGTTGTAACGAATAAAAGAGCTACTTATGATAAAGAATCAACACGCACCTAATATTCAATAAAAAAGTAACGACTTAGAAATAAAATGTAAAATGCTTGGGGCATTTTTTAAAGATGACTTTATTTGAACACTCGCGAGAGATGAGTTATTTAATATCCTACACTTGTTCTAACTTTACTTGAAAATTCGAAAGATATATGATGACTTGGAATAGTTTCAAAAAGGCAAAATGCTAAATAGTTGATCTCTAATGAGCATTTTGATAGATGTCTTTTTTTAATACCGCTATTTATAAAAGATATAACATACATTCCCCTATATATATTTCTTGGATGAATATATTTAATTTATTAAAATAAACATACCTATGCTCAACAACTTCACATAAATATACCATCCTCATGATTCTTACACGAGACAGACCCTTGGATGAGTGCGTAACAAGAAAAAATGGGACCCACTTAGTTTGCTTGACTCTCTCAACTAAACCAATACCCAACAATCTGCTAACTTCAATTCATTGAATTTTTAGTAAAAATATCGATCTCTCAAGGGATCTAATGATTTTCACACCTTTTCAAATTCCACCCTGGGCAACACATTTTGCCACCCGTACTTTTGGGCAGATATAAAATAAAGAAAATTTATCAAAATAATATTAAGAGATCAACTATTACATGTTTTACCCATTTATTTTGATTTAATTTCAAAATACTCATAAGAATGCACATAGCCATGATTTGAGTGGTTGAACAATGATAAATCGTTAGTTTGTTGAAAAGATTGGCATATTTTGATCAGTTTCCCTAAAAAACATTTGTGGCAATACATTCTCAATGGAAACTCAAAATTTCATCGAACTAGAACACCAAGAAAAGTTTATACGCATATTTCCACATGTTAGGTCCAATGGATTATGCAGAAGCATCTATTTTGCTTTTCCAAGTACATATTGAATCAGCAACAACTATAAATTATCCATTGCATCCAACTATATGGGACCATGTAGAAGTACTACTCACCCAAATTCTTATGGGCGAGAGAGGTGGTCCAGATTGTATCCAAACTGTCAAAAGCAATCTGGACCGTCCCTCCAAGAATTCAAACAGGAAGTATGGCAGCTCAAAGTTATTTCCATACAAAAAGCCTCATGAGGCCTGTCATCAATGTGAAGTTACAACAATTGCTAAGACTCTTAAAGTTTGGATAACAAAGAGTGCATACAGTGAAAATTAAGTTTAGGTGAATGATGTATCCACAGAAAATGCTACATGAAAAAATATACCAAACAAAATTTGAGGGCTTGGAAAAACCCACAGAGCATATAAAAGCCTAAACGGGCCTTGATTAGAAGAACATAACAAGATTCATATTAGAAACAACGGAAAAGGGAAATGACATTCTACCGCAATAAAGGAAAAAAACATCAAAGAATATTAATGAGAAAAAATATCTATAGAAACCAGGTAATCCAGCAGTTTCTGTAAGACATTTGATTCATCCATACAAAGTTTGGGATTTCCCAGAGCTGCCACACTTTCCGTTGAAAAGTATCAAATTATGTCTTATATTAGAAATCATCTGCTAAATGCATAATTAACCAAGCCATGCAGGAAAGCATGCTAAATTGCAAATCTAAAAGATCCAAGAAAAGAAAAAAAAAAATCCAATTACAAAAACAAAAGAAAAACGAGAGACGAAGCAACCAACATCTCAGAGAGCAAAACCCCAAATGATAGTAATATTAATAATATCAACATTCGTAGAGACTAAACTGTGAGCCCAACCAATTTATGTTAAAACCACAGAATTTTGTACCCAAACACCAACAGAGAAAAAAAACACACATCCCACGACAGAGTTTAGACATTAAATATTATATATCTATTAGAGTAAAAATATCAAACAAAAAATGTTCTGCTCAATAATAACCTAAAGTGCAAGCCTCGACTGGCATCCTTGACAAGCTTAATTGATACAAAGCGAACTTCCATTGCTCACTAGTCAGTTCTACCTTGCATACGGATGGTATCGACCGCTGCCACTACCTCCATATCCTGCCCCCCTAGATCCATAGAAGCCACCACTTTCACCTCCATAACTAGCGGATGGGCCAGATGCATAGCTAGACCCAAGACTAGACCCACCACCAAACCCACCACTAAATCCCTCTCCACCTCTTCCATAGTCTCCCAATAAACCACTAGCACCATATCCTCCACCACCACCAAGGCCTCCACCATATGATCCTAGCCGACTAGAATAGCCAAGGGGAGAATCGTCCCTATAAGCACCTAAACCACTACTACCATAGCCTCCATTAAATTCACCACCACCACCAAATCCACCAAGTCTCTCTCCGATACCCGCCATCGACCTATAAGAAGAGGGTCCAAATCCACTAGCACCAAAACCACTAGCATAAGAGTCGCTGAATCCATAGGGACGAGCCCTGGTGTCACTAACAAAAGGTGGTTGTGGGGGTGGGTTTGAAGATTTCTTCGGTTCAGCCTTCCTGACTTCCACCTACAAGAAAAAACAATATTAACCTAGAACTATCTCATGGGCCAGCTACGTCTCAAGAATATCTATTGAACATGGATCCACTAAAAAATTTTAAACCTCAAGAATAGTGTAGGTAAATGCTAGTGAATTCTACGAGAACACAAAGGTGCAGCTGAGAACTATAACAATTAAAAAATAATAGAAGAGCTAGAACTAGAAATCACACTAAGGCTAATAACATGTATTTTTCTATTCAAAATGGATGATGTACCTATTTCACATTAGGACCATCAAAGTCTATGAATACCCCAATAAGAATCATTTATAAAAATATAATTACTAATTCAATTATTGCTATAAAGGTCTGATATAGCAAAAAAGAATTGCAGGCCCTCATAAATTCTAATAGAAGGGAACTAGCAATGCAGACCCTAGGAAAAGAGTGTCCAATCTACTCAAGAAACACCACAGGCTACAGGAAAATAAGAATTGCTAGTGGAGTCTGCAATAAAGAGGAGAAACTAGAAACTACATTAAAGTGCTAGTTCAGAATTCACCCCAAAACTAACCATGACATGTACATGAGCAAAATATACAGCAGTCTAATCCCTTCAACACAATATAGCACCTAGAAAAGTATGGCTTATACAAAGACAATTACAATGAAAGGTACAAAACCCCAACACTGCAAAAACCAATGGAACAAAACTGATACCATTACTGGCGATCACTATTATGCACAACAAATTGATCATTATATCACATGATGCTACAACCCAATCTTCCAAAGTTAAAAAACCCAAAACCCTCAACAGAAAGAAAAGAGATTCCAATGACTCTTAGAAAGAGTTGCAACTTGAATTCGCAACTTCAATTGGTACCTATATATCAGAGTACAGGATTGCCGTAGTAAAGATTCAAACTAAGAATCTAAGTAACCATGCAGAAGTACATAAAAAGCCAAACTAAAGATTCAGAATGAAATCCTTTAACAAAAATCAAGATTCATAATGAAATTACATAAAAGTCACCCTTTTGTATCTTCAGTTTAATTCAAACTAAAGCAACATCAATCAACCTAAAGATACACTAAAAAAATAGATGACAAATCCTAGTTAAAGTCATACTAAAGTCCACAGAAAGCAATTCTGAACATAGAAAGATCATGAAACCCAGCTCATTTTATAAATCAAAACCCGAGAATTGAAGCTTTGCCGACAGGTTCCAGTATAACAGAAACATTGGACTTCTATCAGTAAGACCCATTTCTTCCAAATAGATCCATATTAAGCCATAATAGAGACCACACCACATACAAAAGATCCAAACGAAAACCATATGAACGAATCAATAGATACAAAAGGAAATAACTAGAAGACATAAAAAGCCATACTGAAGTCCAAACAAAGTCATAAAGTCCATCTGTCCCTAAAAAAGCGATCCTAAAGATTCAAACAAAGTAAATAGTAACCATGCTAAAGTACATACGATGCCATACTAAAGACTCAAAGTGAAATCCATATAACCAGGCTAAAATCCATAAAAAGCTGCACTAAAGATTCAAACTAAAGCCATATGAATCGTACTAGAAATTAAAAAGAAATTGTTTGCTGAAAGTTAAATGGCAAAACCTAGATCGAAAACCATACAAAAATCCATGGAAACCATACAAACCATACAAAAGAACTGAAGACTCGACAAAATCCATACAGAACAATGTTAATAGAGAAATAGATCAGGTTTCAGAAAAAAGCATTCAGTCATCTAGAAACTCTTAGTTCTCATCTTCTTTGTGAGCACCCACAAATAGTACTCTTCGACCTTGTTAATAATTAAATTACTACATTACAAAAAGAAAATCCATCATTAATCAAAACATCATAGAAGTGCTTTGAGAATGGAAGATTAACTCGAAATTGGACTACAAAATTGCACCAATAATAACATTAAGAATTACACCCCAAACGGTCATACCAACAAGATGAAACCTTTAAGACAAGTAGAATTGTCCCTCCATCCACGGGACAATGAAAGATGTAGAACTACTGGCTGTTGTACACATCGGTTCATAATTACTAATTCTATCATGTATAATAAATATGGTATAATAAATACATCAAAGAAACAAGTACTTAAAAAGCTATTTATAAAGTTTTCCTTTTCATATGGTAACAAATCCCAAAGCCAGTTTGGCACCAAAATCAAAGCCAATGCAATTATCAGAAGCAAGGAAATATGGTCCTAATCGAGTACTCTGTCACATGCGCTAAGGGCCAACTTGAGCGGAAAGTGAACAAAAGAATGACCAAAAATATTCCAAGCCATCTTACAGAGTGCATGCTAGAATGCTACATCATATTTCCACCAACCTAAAAAGGTCTAATTTCCATATCTTCTTAAAGAAGCACATCATCATCTAAATATTCCAAATCTAATTTCTTAGGACAAGCAATTAAAGTACTATGCCACCTATGTTGAAGGCCAACTCTGAGGGGCAGTGAACAAAGGAACAGCCAAATTTCCTAGGCCATCTTAGAGAATATAAGATCAGTGTTTCAAAAAATGGATCGGAAGAGTGGATCATCCACCCACCAATCCAGATTTGGATCAACCTGATTGGCGATCTGCACAAGATCAGTGATTTGGAACTTTCATTTATAAAAAGGCTGAAAATTAAGGATATATTTAAAAAAATGTGCTTTATATAGCACTAATCATTGATGGCCTAGCGGTAGGACATCCTATCCCTTTCCAAAAAGATAGTTGTTCGAACCCCATGCATGTAACTTGCCTTCTAAAGCTTTAAAAGAGAATAAATCTTGAACGCAATGTTTATATATATATATCTTTAGATTTTAAAGAGGGACGGGGTGGAAGGGAATCATATCGCCAACGTCCCCCACAGAGATTAAAACACCAGAGGTCTAACCAACAAGACCTCTTATGTTGTTAAAAAGATTACATATTATATACAAAAATTAATGAATCGCCCATACTGAACGAGAACTGACATGATCATCGGTGATTCCATATCTAGATCGACGATTTCTAATCCGAATCAATGATTATTGAAACATTGTGTAAGATAGATCGTTGCGATTTATTTCTACCAACCTAAATGTCAAACTTCTCATCTTCTTCTCAAGGGAGAACATTATTTTTCAAATAGTGATCCATTATTGATTGAGTAGAGTGATCGATCATACTGTGAATGAGAAATATGTCAAAGCAGTGCATAAATACCCAGATCAGTCGAGTGAACCAGCCATCTGAAAATCCTGTTCAGATCGGGGCAAATCACAAATCCAAATCGACAAACCAGACTGATTCTCCAATGTGAGAATCGATCCAAAAAATAAAGAAATTAAAAAAAAAAAGGAAAACAAAAATTAATAGTAAAAAATAACTTTGCTCAGTTCCCATCACTATGTAAGATAGATTATTGCAATATATTTCTACCCACCTAAATGTCAAACTTCTCATTTCCTTCTCAAGGGAGTACATCATCTTTCAAATAGTGATCCATTATTAATTTCTGAGAGTGATTGGTCATACTACGAATGAGAAATATGTCAATACAGTGCTTAAAAACCCGAATTAGTCAAGTGAACCGACCATCCGAAAATCCGGTTCAAGTCGGCAAATCACCAATCCAGATCGACAAACTAGACTGATACTCTAGTGTGAAAATTGGTCCAAAGAATAAAGAAATTGAAAAAAAGAAAAGAAAAAAGGAAAATAACAATAATAAAGAACTTTGCCCAGCTCCCAAACAAAACCAGGCGGTTCCAAGAGAATTGGGTCAGTCTCACCGTTTCTTGATCAGATTAGCGATTCTCAATCCAAATCACCAGTTTTTTAAACATTGATTCAAAATCACGAAGCCTTCATTTCCTTAACAATCAAAGAACCTAAGCTCCCAACACCGACACTCTTTCTATGCTACAAGAAGACGATTGCCTTAAACCAACATATTATCCATATAGATTATAAAGAAGTGTTTCAAAAATCTCTGACCAGAATCGAAGATCATCGATCCAGATCGAGAATCACCGGTGACCATGCTAGTTCTCGAACGATACTTGCAATTTATTGATTCATATATATAATATGATATGTTTTTTAACAAACAACTTAAAAGGCCTTGTTCGCTAGACCTTCTTTGTTTGATCTCTCTTTAGAGGACATTAGGGGTTCCATGCCCTCGTCCCTCCCCTCCCTCTTCTAGAATCTAAAGAGGTATATTTTCTTTAAACACAAGGCTCAAGAAGTAATAATTTTTAGTATTAGAAGGCAAGTCACATGCATAGCGCTCGAAGCTCTATCCTCTTGAAAAAGGATAGGATGTCCCACCACTTATACAAAACACAAATTGTTAAATTCCATTAACTTTTAGCTTTTAAATAAAAAGAAAACACATTCTGAATCATCGATCCAACCGATCCAAATAATTGATTTGGCCGATCAAGATCGGAATTGGTGGGTGGAGTATCCACCCAACCGATTCATTTTTTAAAATACACAATTTTAACATGCTTACCACGTCGCTCACAATATGCCCTAAGAAGCACAATACTCAAGAAGTAATATGCAGAGAGAATCCATAACAACTGCATTTACCATAATCAAATTACAATCGGCCCAATATATGTTAAGTTTCATTGCATCACCAAAGTTACGGATCTGATGGATTCATTTCAATTGTTAGCATCATCCATCAACATGTATTGGACATGACAAATTTCCCAGCATCCATAAATAAGTACGGGATATCAACAAAAATTGTAAAAAACTTACAAATCAATTTAGTCTCAATCCAATCACCTGCATGTGGAACATAACATCGTAATCACGTGCAAATAGAGTATTCCACTTTGTCGGAACATCCAAAACTAAATCCTTCTCACTCAGCACATCGAATTTTACAACTAATCGGTGTAAAATTGTAAAGTATGTAAGAGCATACCCATCTTGCTTCATATATCCAATAAACACACACAACAATTAATAGCGGCACATGAGAAGGCTTAAGTTTGTCCCTACAAAATTCGAACCTGACATTTGGGATTCTTGCATCAAAGAACTTTATAAGTAAGGACTTATTTGAATTACAAGTGATCTTTCTCATAGTGCTCCATCTACATCTGGTTAGATTAAACCTCAAGAGATTATTTGGAAATTTCTAGAAGTTCTTATTGATCATCATCATCATCAGAGCCTTTTCCCAACTAATTGGGTCAGCTACACGAATCCTGGTCGACCATTCTGCTTTATTAAGGGTCATACCCACAGTGAGTGCCATAAGTCCCTATATCTTTTCTTACTACTTCCAACCACATCCTTTTGGGTCTACCCCTTGATCTTTTTTTAGACTTCCACCTTAGTTTCTAGAAGTTCTTGTTGATGCTACTTGTAAAATCCGTAGTCAAATATTTTACTTTGAATCTTTACATTGAACACGGAAGACATTATCTGTCCAGATGAAACTGTAAGATCCTGGGTACAAACCGAAGCTTGTAGAGTATTATTTCTTAAAAATTTATTGTGACAAAAGTAATGCACCCTCTTCTAACAATGAAAACGAAATAGTTCAAGTTCTGCACAGGACAATAAAGCGAAAAGCAAGCTTCACCAAGGTGATTGACCAATTTTTTATTCAAAGTTCTATTGCCATCCTAAAAAATAAAACTCTAACCACTATTCGAAAGATGATGCGTTTCCTAAAGAAAAAGATGGGAACTTGAGCATTCTAGGTTGGTGGAAACATAAAGCAGCAACCCATCCTACATTCTCTAAGACGGTCCAGATATTTTGGCTATTGTTATCCATCATTCTCTCAGTATTGATATTTTTGCACCTCATTACGGAGGGTTAAATTTTAGCGCAAGAATGGCTTTGAGATCACCACCATGAAGGTAAAACAATATTCCAAATTGTAAGCACTTATTTTTTGATATAAATATCATGCATTTCTCTATTAGTAATTACCAATTAATACATGTATCGCAGCCGACAGCACAACATCCTACATTGACTCGAAGTTGAAGGGATGATTGTGTTTGGTGTGAGCATTTTGAGTATAGTTCTTACTTATTTTACATGTGCAATTCTTTAGCCTTTCCATCTTTCTAGTTGATTTCCATTCTCAAATCACTCGCAACGACAATTTTTGTTTAATTATAGATTTTTGGTTTGTAATGAGAGATTTAATTATTGACAAGGTTAATTTGTTGAAAAAAATAGGACATTGTGTGAGTATTACCATTGACTTATGGCATCTAATCAATCATTTGAAGATATTGCGCCACACAACACACCTACATAGATAATGACTGAATATTAAGAAGAGGGATTGTCTACTATAGAACCCGTATAACATGTTCCCTTGAAAGCATATTGTACAACAACTCCCTTGGGCAACTTAGCTACTGGGGAGATGTTGTTCGTAGTCAAAATTTTGGAATCCATCTAAGTATCACTAGATTATTTTCCAAAGATAAAAAAGTTGGGATTTTGAGGTCTTGTACATCTAGATCTTTCCCTCCAAAAATTGGACAGTTCTTGCAATCTTGGGACGTCATTTTCTTTAGGCACATAAAGGTTGGGAGCTTCCCCCCCCCCACCCCCCCCCCCCCCCCCCCTTCCCCCCCCTTAAGGATGATCGTTCGGTTCTAGAGATTACGTTTCACAAAAATCTCCCAACCTAGGTGCCAAGATCTTGCTCTGACACTCCAGCATAGGGATCTAAATTATCATCATCATCAAAGCTTTTTCCCAACTAATTGAGGACAGCTACACGAATCCTGGTCCACCATTCTTATTTTATATTCCAGACTCATGAGAAGTTTCGGCAAAATTTTATACGTTGGCTGCCTACCTAACACAACCCACACCCCTTACCCTGTCTTGGGATGGGGTAAGCAAAAGTTTAAGGTCCTCACCCTTCGTAGACCAAGGATAGGGACCTAAATGAAATCACGATTTTCAAATTTTAGGATCTTGATCAGCACTTTTGGAGATCGCTCCTGGCCGCTGAAAGGAGTAACAAGAGACCAATAAGATGATTCATTTCGATCTTATGTGTCTCCCTCTTTCTCTCTATCACATATAGATGTTATGTAAGTAAATTGTGAATGAAGGAGCTTTGGAGGTTGTCAAGTGTAAAATTGTAAATAAAAAAAACATTATCAATAAAAAATCAGCTCCATTGTATTTTCAGCAGATTAACCAATGCGCCTCATCATAATTTTTTATTTATTGCATTGTGTAGTAGTTTTTTACATAAGTTGCACCTCAAAGAAATACAATTGATTGACTAATTAATGTTTTGTTGAGTATTTTTTGTGCCCATTTTTTACTGTATTTTGCGGGATTACCAATTCGTTTGCTTTTCAATAAAAATTGTAATTTTTCAAAATTTTAATTAATATTTTGTGGGATTACCAATTCTTTTGCTTTTTAATAAAAATTGTAATTTTTCACAATTTTAATTTATTAATTACATAATTCAACAGAATTTTTTCCTAACCCAATGGAGCTTCTAGCACGTCACAATCCGACTTCCACTCCACTTGCAACAACTTGAGTATGTGTTTTTCGCAAAAAAAGAGGAAAAAGGAGGAGAGAAAAAATGAAGGGGGTTATAGAAGGTATAGTCTATGGATCATAGATATTTGGGTTTCATATAGATTTTTATTGCAATTATAGCATACAGTTAGGTACTCCTGGGAACAGTCCAAAAGAAAATCGAACCCAATTTGCCAGGCCAAGGCCCGAAAATGGGACTTAGAATCTGGCCAAACCCAACCTGAAGCGAAGCCCAGCCTAAAATCCAAAGCCTGACCTGCCCATTTGGTAGCCCTACATAAAAGTAAAGTCCGTTTACAGTGCAGCAAGGGTAGCACCATAAAACCATGCAGCCATACCTCGAACTCCAGTTTTTTGATAGAATGAAGACCCTTAAGAAACCTCCAAACAATTTATGAATCCTTCTCCAACCCAAAATTGTTGATTTGAAGCACTCGTCAAGCTCCAAACCCACGAGACTACCACCCAATAGAAGGGATAGTTCAAATCTGATTTTGACATTGTATTGGGGATTAACCATTTTCAAGCCTCCAGATCCAATTTAAAAAAAAAAAGACCTCAGAGAGGAGTGTAATGATTTAGAGCTTTGGTCATCAATCGACACCCATTCAAAACAAGGTATAAGAGAAGCCACCCGACAGCTCAGGATGCATCCACAGTAGCATCAAACCATTTTCCAAAAGAGTAACAACATCATAAATTCTAGTACAAAGTAAAAGCACACGAGTAGGCTCTAGCATTAGCTAAAAAGGAGGGACAAGAAATTAGATACAGAAAACTACTTGAAAGAATCATCCAAACATCAATAAAGTACAGACAACACATAACAAGGAAAGGAAACAACATAACAGAGAAGAATGGCCTATTAAATGAACAATGATATACAAGAAATACCATGGACTCCTAGATGTTTTCTTCTGTTTTTTTTAAAGAGAAAGCCCCAACCTTGTGACTTCTACAACAAAGTGGGTACGACATTAACATAACATTATCATAGCCAACCTTGTAATTATGGTACCATGATGAACCTCCATAATAAAGCAAAACTAGAAACCATTTAAACACAACGCGGGAGACAAAAATATATGTAAAATTTTATTTTTTCCAATTAAATATGCTGAAGGACCATAGCACCCACAATAAAATGTGAAGAATAGAGACACTTTGGTAAGCATAATATACCCAACTTGTATTGTTGTATTTTTGTTTAGATAAGCACAGAGACTCACTCACCTGAGTATCTCCAAAGTCTATCATATTGCCCTTGGCTACAAGGTCATCTACAACTTTTTCACTATCAAAGATTATAAACCCAAAACCCCGAGAACGATTGGTTGAATGGTCACGAATGATCTGGTGGTCCACTACTTTCCCATATTTGGAGAAGAAGTTCTTGAACTCATCTAGTATATGGGAGAAACAATAGGGGGAAAAAAGTGATCAGGCTAGGCAGCAATAAAAATGATGGGCAAGAAACAACTAAAAATAGATACTACTAAGAGTTCTACCATTTTAAGAAATTTGGTGATCAGAGAATAAAACTAACAAGACCAAATGACTACCTTCTGTAACATTTGTAGGGACTCCACCAACAAAAATCTTCTTTGTCTTAAAAACCTTAGATTGCAAAGTTCCCTTTGGAATTGTTCTTTTTATTTCCACCTGAAAGGCCATGTTCCAGTCTAAGAACCCCAAACTTCAAATATATACATCTTCATCAAGAAAATAAAGAACAATAAAACCACATAAAGAACAACATTTTTACACTAATATCTTTAATGCACATTATTAGCGAAGCCTTGAATATTTTGATCCACCTCTCTGGAAGCTACATATACTTTAAGGCCTTCTCTGAAATTTTTTTGCACATTTCTTTCTATTGAAATCCAGTGCTGTTATAATTTACTGATATTATTTACCAAAATATTTCGCCCACACATAGTACACAATAACATAAAAAGGCCTCTATTTCTCCTAATAGTAGGAATTAAACAGAAATCATTTGTTTGACGAAGAGTCTATGCTATTTTCATAATTTCAAGCAACATAAGACACTAAAACTTCATTGTATTGTTCAGACCACGAGTACTTGTGTACAAAAACCAAACTGTTCATACCAATGTAAGTTGACATTTTGAGACTGATTTCTTGGGCATTTGTGAATAACATTTCACAGATTAGATTCCACATTTCATGAGGACTACTCAAACGAATGAGAAAGTGATATTCAAAATTCCAAGTGCAATTTTAGCACAGTAGTTTCCATAATTTGTACAGAAAAATGAGAAAACTGAGAATGGAGGTAATTGTGCATCGCTTGATAGAGGAAACAATAATTTCAAATGACTTCAGCACTTGGCAGGAGCTCCACCAGTAAAAGTTTGAAATTCTAGGTAACATAAAAAAAGGAGGAGATTCATCCAAGAGAAGGGCATGGCCACACAAGCTAAAATTCATACTCATCTCCAGGATTTTAAATAGTGCTCCATTTATTTTTTTTTACTAACAAAGAAAGAGACAACTTCCATTCTCACTAGCAGTCTACCATTATTTTCGTTTTGAATGTGTAAAAGTAATATTACTGTTTGAAACACCAATAATGAGAGGAAAAGAGGATTCCAATATCTATATTACATTATTAAGACAAACTTACGAGGTAGACATGCCTCAAGAATAAGAAGGGATACCCTTGGAGAGAATTTAAGGCAATTAAGCTCTTAAAAAAAAATAGTTGGGTTATGTGTGTTGCACGAAGGAATGAAATAAGCAATCACATAAATGAAATAAGCAATCACATAAATGAAATATACAATCACATAAATAATAGTGTAAATATGCAATACAGAGTATTAAAAACATTCGGTTAAAATAATCACATAAATATGTGACGTGAGAATACATTGATATGCAATTTGCGATCATGTAAATGATCACGTGATTTTACAATAGGAGTGTGCAGCGTTCCAAAAAGTGGACCGCCCAGCGCATGGGCAGCCCGCCTAGGTGGATCTGGAGGCCTGGGCGCATTGCTCATGCCTAGGTGCCCAAAAAAAGCGATGATCCCTAGGTGCTCAGGTTAAGCGCCCCGCTCAGGAGCGAAAATTGCTTTCGGTGGGGCATTTTTTGTCCATTTGTTTTATACTAAAGGGCCAAAAATGGGGGTTTTAGGTCTATTTGAAACCTAAAACTTATTGGAGCCCATTTTAGAGAGAGAAAACCCCCAAAAAATTAGTTTTCTGGTGATTTCTTTAAGATCGAAGGGTTTCTCAAAGTTATGAGAAATTGATCAAAACAGCACTCATTGATATTAGATTTAATTTTTTATGTTTTATAAATCTATTGGGGTTTTTTTAAGAAGATTTTGAGTCCTTAGAGCGATATTTGAGGTGGAAATTTGGAGATTGAGCAATCAAACTCAAAATAAGTGCTTTTTTTTATTGCTTGTATAAATTGCATTATTTTGAGATGTCTTCTTCGGGATCTAATAGGAGTGGTGATCCCCGTTGGAAATATGATTACGACCCAGATCCTAATGATAAAAATTGCATCTTATGTGATGCAATTTTTGTGAGAAGGATACAAAAGGGGGTATAAACCGGTTCAAGAAACATCTTGAATTATGATGATGATGATAGTGATGAGGATGGGATTGGAAAGGGATGTCAAGAGGTAGAAGTAGAACAATCCATAATTAGGGGAAAGGGAAAGGGAGTTGTAATTGCTTCTGGGTCTGGTTCTGGGAGTAAGAAGCCTCGGGTTAAAGGCCCTATGGATAGTTTTTTGCCTCGGCCTGACCCTAAGGTTGCAGGAGAGAAAACAAAGAAGCAAACCACCATTGAAAATAAAATGAAGAAAGAAGAGAGATAGAATTGCTTATCACATTGCTACATGGTTTTATGAGGCGAGCATTCCTTTCAATACCGCTCGCTTAAGCAGCTTCTATGCTGCAGTAGAGGCAATTGGCCAATTTGGGCCTGGGATGAAACCCCCAACCCCATACGAGCTTTCAGAGTTTCTTTTGAAAAAGGCGGTGAGTGTCACAAAAGAAGCTGTAGAAGTTAAGCAGGATGCATGGGCTCAGTATGAGGCTTCTATTATGACTAATGCTTGGAGTGATAGGAAGAGAAGAAGTCAGATGAATTTGCTTGTGAATTGTCCTTTAGGGACTCTTTTTTTAGGTCTATTGATGCCTCTGATCATATCCATGATGCCCATTACACATTCCAAGTTTTATAAAAGGGAATCAAAGAGATTGGGGAGCATCATGTTGTACAGGTTGTCACAACAATGTTGCTACTAATGTTGTTGCAGCTAATTTGTTGCGCATAGTTTATCCTAGAATCATTTGGACACCATGTGCAACACCTTGCATAAACCTCATGCTTGAAGCTCTTGGCGGTTTAATCGACATATCAGGTGTAGTGAAGAAGGCAAACTCAGTTACAAATTTCATTCATGGCCACCATCTCACCCTTAGCATGATGCGTTGATTTACAAAGACGAACAAGGTTGTGAGGCCTGGGGTTACGAGATTTGAGACCTGGTACTTATGCCTAGATAACAAACATTCGAAGAGAGTGCAATTGAGGCAGATGTTTACCTTGGATGACTAGAGAGCATGCAAGTGGTCCAAGGATCAGGTTGGGAAGGAGAGAGATATTATCCTTTTTCTGGGCAAGTAAAAAAAATTGTTAAGTCAGTAGGGATTTGGGCCCCTACCCATTTGTGAGAGAGATATTATCCTTTCTAAGGCTTTTTGGCGAGGGGTGAAGGGCGTTCTTAAGATATTTTTTACTCTTGTCAAAGTCCTTCGCATGGTTGATAGTGACAAGCCTTCTACGGGCTATATATATGAGGCTATAGAGAAATGCAAAAGAGAGATAGCCCAAAAATTTTGATGATGATGAGAACTGTTACAAGCATGTTTGGGAGATTATTGATGAGAAGTGGGATAGGCAGCTACATTGGCCATTGCATGCGGCTGGTTATTATTTGAACCCAACTTTTTTCTATGTTGACAAGGATATACACACAAATGACACAATTATGACTGGATTTAATAAGTGTGTAGATGTGCTAGTCCCTGATCCTAATATCCAAGATATTATATGAGCTGATGAGCTAATAAATTACAAGTGCTCATTAAAGTCTTTTGGGAGTCCAATGGAGAGGAGCCAAATAGTTCTCCAAATTTACAAAAGTTGGCCATTCGGATCTTAAACCTAACCACTTCCTCATCTGGTTGTGAGCGCAATTGGAGTACTTTTGAAGGGGTAAGGTTGTAAAGGTAATTTGTATAATTGTATTATTAATAATAATACATAAACCATAGATTTTAATTAATTTCATTTGATTTTGTTAGATTCATACAAAGAGAAAGAACAAGCTTGAATAAAAAAGGCTCAATGACGTAGTCTACGTCAAGCATAATCCATTCTTTAAGGACAGGTTTGCTAAGAGAGATAAGAGAGACCCCATCAAATCAAAAAATATGGACAATGATATAGAATGGTTAGTTGGTGATGATGAGGTCGAGGGGCATGAAGAATTGACTTGGGACATGATCATGGATGCTTCAGGGACATCAGCTGACCCTCCTAGGGCCACTAGATCTACTAAACAAAGAACGATGGTGGAGGAGGAAGAAGAGGCAGATGCAGAAGAGACGGATGAGTATAACCAATATGACGAAGAGCGTGACGACTCCGATGAATATGATGCCAATGCAGCTAACCCTAATTTTTCTGATGATAAATGATGAATGTTGAATAATTATTAAACTTTGAACTTTGATTGAACTATGAATGGTAAGTTTTAAGTTTTAATTGGATATGGATTATGAACCGACTTATGGGTATGCTTATGGAGTGTGTGCTAATGTGTATTATACTTTGAATTCTAATATGCCCTAAATACGTAATTCTTATATTTTGTACAATATATAACTGTAGAATCCTTTTTGGATTCAACTAGGCCGCCCAGGTTCTGGGCGGCCTGGACCCCCAGCCTAGCGCCTTTTGAAATATGCAATGAGAAATATATCTTAAATTCCGTACATACAAGTTGGCACAAATATAATAGAGATGCGGGACAAACAAAATTAAATACATATCTATCACCATTCCATTTTAATAGAGTAATATGTAAAAAGGAAGCCACGATGTATATAACTTTCTGATTATTAAAATACACAACACAACAGCACGAAATTCATCATCATCATCATCCAAACCTTATCCCGATTGCATGAATCATGTTCATCCATTCTTCTCTATCAAGAGTCATACCTCAGTGATACAACATAGGTTCAGGATTCACGATAAAATGTAGTTTACGCTAGTTGCCTATCTAATGCAACCCACCTTCTTTACCCGGGCTTGGGACTGCTTAAGGGAAAGTTTAAGGTCCTCACCCTTCTTAGACCTACAACAGTAGGGAATTCAAGGAGTATTTAAAGGGAATAGTAATTTTGTAAATAAAATATTAAAGTAGTTGTTAACATATAAATGAGATCCAATGAAAGATTAAGGATGTTTAAACAATGAAAATGGTATAAATCATTTGTCAATTTCATCAAGAAAAAATCTAGAGAATTTCATAAAATTAAGATTTTTTATTTATTATGCTATAACCAATTTGTAAGTATTTATCTTAGTGGATCC